TTCCTTCCTTCTCCTAACTTACGCTGTACCACACGCTACGCTGTACTGCCAAGGTACTATACTGTTCATATCATATAATAAAACTACGTTCTTCAAAGTCTGCTGTTATATTCTCCACGGACTCAACATATATCAATCACGAGACATCACGAGACACGTTATAATAACACGAGACACGTTATTACATTAAATCCGAAATTCCGAGGACCCGTCAACTCGCGCACTCGCGTAAACTACACGGTCGGTGTCGCGGGCGTGGTTTAGCTTGTCACTTTAAAACTTTTCGCTTATACTTGGCACGAGACACTACCGTGTCTCGTGATAAATCGGCACATAGGTTAGGTTCACTCTATTTACGGGCGCTCGCAAGTCGGTAACGTAACGTCAGTCACGTCAGCCGAGCTTGCGAGCGCCACGTGCGGCAGAAATATGAAATGGAATTCTGGTGGTTGACGACGACGACGACGACGTGGACGATGTTTCTTAAACGCGAATTCATAACTGCGAACTCTGCATTGCAAGCAATATCTCCACACACGGGGCACGTAGGAGAAAAGAAAAAACACTTTTATTATGCAAATCGTACCCAAGCTATCGATTAAGCGCAGTCTCAAGTTCGTCGGATCAGCCGTTGTTGAGATCCGAAATTCTGAGGGCCCGTCAACTCGCGTACTCGCGTAAACTACACGGTCGGTGTCGCGCGCGTGGTTCTAGCTTGTCACTTAATAGTTGGTCGCTTATACTTAGCGCGAGACACTACCGTGTCTCGTGACTAGATTTCTGTCCGCGTGTTTCCATCTGTTTTTCTGTTTCGTTAATTAGATCGTCTAAGTCAAGTTCGTTATATGTTTCGTCAATGTCTTTGTCACTGTCATCTTCTTCTTTTTCTTCAAAATTAGCTTCTTCATCTTCTTCGTTCGAGTCTTCATCGGAGCTCAGGCTATCTTGATCACCTTCTGGATTAGAATTATTTCCTCTTGTTTCATCTGTCAAAACTTCGCGAAAATCTGTACCTGAATTTTTCTCTTGACAAATTTCATCATAGTCATAATCTCCTGCTAAATTATTTATTATCTGTAAAAGATTAGGTGGTATTATTATTTGTGAATTAGAGGTATTAGCAATGTTATCATTATTATTATTGTTTAAATTTTCTGAGAGTAAAATTTCTGTCTCGAGTTGAATGTTCTGAATGTCATTTTCGGTTTCAGTTAATTCTGTTATAGGTAGAGATTCTGTTTCATTAGTGTTTTCTTGTTGATTTAGTGGAATATTGTGTATTTCATCTTGAAATGTATGTTCATAAAATAGTGGTTCATTTCATTCTTTTCTAGTAAATGGTACGCTTTCACCTGTGTGAACTTAGCACCCGACTTTAATAAAAAAAAATTTTTTTAATGCATTCGAAAGAGCATCGTTTGTACCCGTTTGTACCACCATTCATTTCGTTTGTACCTCAAAGGGGTGAAAGTTACGAAAGGGTGAAAAAATCGCCACCACCCCACTTTAAGATATCTGAAATCTAATTGCGCCATTCGAAAGAGCATCGTTTGTACTCGTTTGTACCGCCGCTGGTTTCGTTTGTACCCCCAAGGGGGTGGTTGTACCGAATTTTCAAAATAGGGGTAGGAACCAACTTCGTCATTTTTTAAGATATTTAAAATTCTGAAAAGGGATACTGTTTCGTAGTCGTTTGTACCCGTTTGTACCACCGCTAGAATCTTTTTGGGCCGTTGACCTCTGATCATCTCAGGTGGAGCAAGCTCTTCATCATTCGTTTTAACTAGTATTCGAGTTGTCGTGCGACTGTTTTCGTATACACGTGTTGTGCACCTAGATAATTCACGTATACAGGGTGTATTCTAATTCGCGCCCACCATTTATATAGTGATATTTCTCATGAAAAACTGAGTCGAAAAGTCCCGAACCATTTTTTCGAGTCATGTCTCACAAAGTAGTTGTAATTATTTAAAATTTAGCGA